CTATGGGCCGATTTGATATTGTGGTAAACGGTAGCGGGATAATGAATGAGCATGAAATTGAACGCACAATACAAATTAATTTGGTGAGTTTTTCTTCTTTTTTTTTGCTGTAGAAATATAACCAGAATGATGGCAGTTGAATTGCATTCTTATGTACATATGTACATTAGGGTGGTCTGAAATAAGAAAAGTCGGAATTCTAATGCTCTCGGGAAAGAGATTGTTCTACACCGAAAAAAATTTTGGTCCTCTCTTTTTTATTTTTAAACCAAAAAATATTTAGAGGTCGCTCAAAGCGCTTAAAGTTTTCCATGTACATATTTTTTATGGAGAGAAAAACAATTTTTCTTGAATTCATGAAAGCTACGGATATGCGATTAATCGCATTAATGAGATCGTAAGTAATTAATTACTGTATAAAAAATTATTTGAAATCTGAGTAACTTTGCTCATTTTTTTCGAGTTTCCTTTCACAGCAAGTTAAATCTTTTTTTGTACTAATATAACACGATAATTTTCTTCTTAACAAAAATGTAATGCCAAACACAAACAAAAAACACAATAAAGCAACAATTATTCAGGTTGCTGAGTAATCAGCTTTTTGATTAATTATTCTTTGATTAATTATTATTATCTTTTGATTAATGAATTAATCAGATCTCGATTAATTAATTGATTAATCGCACATCCCTAATGAAAACCAATATTTTTCGATCGGAAAACTTTGTTTCTCTCCGGGAGACTTTCAGTAATATTACCCAGTGGTTTATTTGACCATTTTTTAATATTGAATATTTTTATAGGTCGCCTAAAATCCCCAAAAAGTGCAATAGTGGGGACATAAAAAATCGCTAGTATCAAAAAATGGTAAAATAAATATTTTACTATTATTACTGAAAGCGTCCTGATGGTAAACATAGTTTTCCAATTGAAAAATATTGATTTTCAATAATTCTGAAAACCCTTGAGCACTTCGCGCGTCCTCTAAATATTTTTTTGATTTCGAAATAAAAATAACAGGTGTATATTTTTACGATATAGAACAATACTAGGGGGTGATAGCATTAAAATTCCTATTTATATTTGTCACATGCATTTTCTGACCACCCTAATGCACACTTGCCTGCACACGTACTTATATCTGCGTACATCTATTATTTTTTTAAATATTCGCAATATTTTGCAAGCAAAAAAATTCGCTTAAACTTTGTATGAAGAAAAATGCATAAGACAGTCAGCAAAAATATTATTAAAAATTAATGCGAATTCTTAGCCATTTCGAGCTGTACTATAAATCGGCATACCAGAAAGTTTTTTTTAATTCTGATTAAAAAGTTTAAAATTTTTATGGAAATTCGTTGAAATTTCCTTAATTTTGTGTAAAGTTTGAAACTTTTATTTATATGTTTTTGTTTATAGCATGAACCATATTTTTGTAAATAAATAACAAAAAAATGTAGCTTACGAAGCATTGTGAATATTTAAAAAGAGTGGGTGTAGATATGCAGGCAAGAAGCATATTTATTTATTTCTTCTTTGTTGTTACACATCATATGCGTCTAATCGTGTTTACGTGCAAATTGTTACATACTCACTAATAAACGTTAATATTTACATATATTTATTTGTAAATACATTAGGCCGTATCACGATGTATGGGCCGAAAATATTTCAAGCGAGTTTGAACACTCACTAGGAGAATATTTCAGGAAAGTAAATACTATAATTGTTTCGGCACCCTGTAAAAGCAGCTAAATCGGTTTTTTTCTATACATTTTTTATTTGATGTCCGATGTCTGTAAATGATACATCGTTGTAAAGTTTTTAAGAAAGCCTAGAGTTGTATATGTAGAGCTTGTCATGTCTCATAAAGTTTGAAAGTTATGGTAATTTTTATAAATACGCAATATTATGTGTCAGAGAAATATTCTTCATGTCAAATTATAACCCATTTTGAAAAAAACTATCAACTCTTTTTCATAAAACATCAGCTAACTATTTACTAGTAATTTTGTAAATATTTTCGGTATTCGAGTTGGCTGTATCGCTCTCGTCTAATAAGTATGCCTAAAAACATTGAAAACGATGGGCGACGGGCTACATCTGTCAAATTATTTTAACGTGGGCTCTTATGTAGATAATAGGGGTCTTCCCTTAAACTCGCAAAATCCTCGTAAACCTCGTAAAGCTCGTAAATTTACGAACGTCGTAAAAGAACTGTCAAAATTTGTATGGAGCTCTATTTACGAGCGCGTCGTAAAATTACGAAGCAAATTTGATGCGAAAAGGACCTCGTAAACTTCAATGTCAATAAAATTGTTTAATAAAACTTATTATATATTATTGAAAACAAATCCTATAAAAGCCTCGTAAACTTAAAAGTTTTACATAGTTCAAGATTTTACGAGTTAAAGGGAATCCCCCAGATTAATTTTGGCGATAGATCTACACCGCTACAGTGGTTGTGCCCAGGTTAGATCTATTTCAATTTTTCGAGCGACAGATAAGGTTCTTCCTCTTCTTTTTCATCTGTCAAACTCACTCATGTCAAATTCATTATGTCGCCATCGGCAAAACGTTTAGATAATGAGGACAAACGATTTAAAGCTGTGTCCCATCGCACAGTGGGAACTTTTCGACTGATTTTGTTCAAGAAGGAAGAGTACATTTTTAGTGAATTTAATCTTTTTTTTTTAACTTGGAAGAAATTTTAGAAAATATTGTATAAGCTTGAATTAAAGAAAATTTATTTTTAACGGCATATGGTGAATGTCCAAAAAAACGTAAAAAAGTCAAACTACACATGTATGTAAATATTTGTAATATTTTATTGGTTACAAATTTCAGATTTCAAAGGTAATAAGAATGTTTTTAAATTTTAAACTCGTTGAATTGGATTTTACTAGAATCGTGAAATTCAAAATGGCCGACACAATAAAACGGCTGCTAATAAAAACTCGTATCTTATGCATTTTCCTAGAGAAGGTCCGTGTAGGGGGGGTTTTTGGGTCACTGAATACTATTCTGATGGCCAAACCAATATGGCGGTTGCTATCCAAAAAAATAAAATTTTATAACGAACAAACCTTTTTCAACACTCACTATTCGCTTATAAACATGCAAGTTTTTTTTAAATTCAGATCTAGAAACTCCGCTCCAAGTAGTGAAAAAAATATTCAATTCGCTAAAAAAAATGTACAAAATAAGTCGAAACTTTCCCACTGTGCGTCTATTTCAATATTTTTCAAGCATTAAGCTTGGCAAATATATAACCAAGGCACTCTTCACCATGTATATCCTCTAGGGAAATGGGTCAGCAAATAAAAAGGTAAAAGAAAAAAATCGATTTAACTGTTTTTACATCGTGTATAAAACACATTTTTTAAACTCCTTAAATTCTCTCATAGTGGGAGTTCAAATTCGCTCTGAACGAATTGAACTATTTTTTGTGACCCGCTCTAATATATATACATATTTCCAGTTCGGTGTCATTTACAGCACTTTTGCGGCTTTGCGTCTGATGGACAAATCGAAAGGTGGTCATGGCGGCCTGATTGTGAATATTTCCTCAATAGTCGGCTTGGATGCTTATGGTGCTTATGCTGTTTATACAGCGTCAAAATATGGTGTCAACGGTTTTACTAGAGCGCTCGCAGTGAGTTGTGACATATGTACATATTTTTAAATACAAATGTACATATGAATATATATTTGAATTATGTAGGTACATATGTATACTTGCTTACTTTATTAAATATATTTTCGCAGGATCCATATTATTATAGTCAAACAAAAGTTGGTTTCATCACAATTTGTCCGAGCACTACGGAAACCGCAATGATCGCATCTCTACGCATGGAGGCGGTGACCACATTTGAGCGCATGCCACCACTGCCTAAAACCCTGTGCAACAATCAAAGCCCGGAAAATTGTGCCTACAATTTAGTAACTGCCATTAAAACTGCTAAAAATGGTTCGGTGTGGATTTTGACTGCCGGCATCTTGAGAGAATATCATTACCCTGATATTTAAGTAGTGAATTTTAGAAATAAGCTAAATTTAGTATTTTTATCAATCAAAAGCACTTTTTCTTAGAAAACCACTAAAAATTTATACCCCGCGCGCGCTTACAGTTGAGCTGGAAGATGATTTGATCAGCAGGATTATAATGGCTAGTGTGACCAAATGATCACTAAAAATTGAGCTAAATTGACTATAAAACAAGGTTAGAAAAAGTTAGAGGCAGTGAAAAGATAAGCCAAGAAAAGTCAGAACTTTTATGCTGAAAAATTGTATTTTAATTTTAAATTGTTTCGCTCAAAATTACCCAGTCGGAATAATCAAAAAAAGGAAGCCTTTTTCTGATATCTTATATTCGATCGGAAATGCCAGAGTTTCACGCCTTCTGATTCGGATTCTTTTAGAAGGAGAAAATTTACTAAAAAAACTTGTTTTTAAAATTATATACGCCTATACCAATTCGTTCCTTTATTTGACATCCGTTGCTTTAGAAACACTCCCTCTCCTGGAGCAGCCTATTGGAAGATCTCCTAATACAGAAATAATTATGCTTTGCTTTAAAGATTTACCATTGCAATTCAATTACACTTGCATCTTGGCTACTTAAATTTCCGAAAAGAAAAAGAGCATTAAATATATGTGGATAGTTCTCCGCAACACTACAAAGATTAAAACTACTTATAAAAAAGGTATCGTTAAAAAAATCCACGAAGCTGGAACAAAAATTCCGGGGCTAGAGCAAATATCCCAGGACAGCTGTGTGCGCGGAAAGCTTTAGACTGTATTTTAAAAGACAAATTAGCAAATGAGTTGCGCGGGAAAAATGTGTACTCCAAAACCTTTTTAGATACATACAAATATTTTTATAGCGGCGCACATAAGGACAAAGTGACTAATTACGAGGACAAAAATAGAAAAACAAAAGTCTCTAAATCTTATCACACATACCCGTTCTAATACCCGTTATAAACCAGTCCACAATGTAACACACAAATTTTGACTTTTAACGCAACGCAGCAGCTTTAGCAGAAGCGCTAAGTTGGGTTTTCTATCGTGCGTCGAATTAAATAATTTTTTGTTTGAAGCGATGATAAAATATAATAATAGTTTTGTTAACATGGAAAACGAGGCGTGAGGTATGTACTTTATTTTGCGATTTTTGTTAATAATATAGTTATTTGTAAATTTTATTTTATAAGTTGCCTTTTTTATTGAAAAAAAAAAAATTTGAAATTTCAATATTAGTTAGCGTTATAAAAAATGAGTCAACAGTTCGAAAATCCAACAAATTGCCAATGTAAAAATATCACGAACTTGTCCTCCCTTTTGCCCCTTCATTAAATAGAGCACATCTTTCTTAAATCGTTTACTGGGACCAATCGAGAATATAGGAGGAAAAAGATGTTTACTCCATATGTAATTGACAGATTTCAATGAAATTTGGTTGTCAATGATTTCGAAATTGATATCAAATCTTCAAAATTCAAAATGGCGTACACAATATGGCGGAAGATATCTTAAAAAATTTATAGATTATTATGAACCTTGGTATCCAGAGATTTTCGTCGCCACTGGTTTCGAAATTGATATTAAATTTTCAAAAATCGAAATGACGGATCCAATATGGTGGACCACTTTTTTTAATTATAGTTTGTTATGAAACTTGACATTCAGAGATCCTCGTTATCTTTGATTACGAAATTTCGAAATCAGTGACGAGGAAAATCTCTGGATACCAAGCTTCATAAAAATCTATACATTTTTGAGGAAATCATCCACCATATTGGATCCGCCATATTGATTTTTTTAAATTAAATATCAATTTCGAAATCAGTGACGACGAAAAGCTCTGGATACCAAGTTTATAACAATCTATAAATTTGTTAATAAATCGTCTGCCATATTGTCAGTTCGGAGTGTAAAAAATACTGGGAAATAACCAGTCAGGACCTAAAGGAATTAATGTCCAAACGTTAGGATTCATATCCTCAAAGAAGTTTGCTGCAGCTTATCGGTAAAAGTTTCTACTTCTTGGTTAGAAAAATTTCTAAATTATATATCGTCACCTGAAATGCAAAATAACGTAACAACATCGCCACTGAAATGGAAAAGTCGTGACTAATTTTATTTTTTTTTCATAAAACAATGTGGGGAGTTGTAATTTGATGAAATCCATCATAGCAATCAAAAGGTGAATTTTGAATTTTTTATAAGTTACTACTTTTTGCTTTTCAATGACGATGATGTTACGTTATTTTGCATTTCAGGTGACGATATGTAATTTTATTAAAACTATGGTTTTCAGAGAGCTGTATATGTATAGAAAATTAAGCGAGCATTTTTTTCTTAAAACTTTAAGCCACTTAACTCCTACGTAAGTGGTACTTTTGACCCTTTAAAAGCTTTAAGCAGAAAAAAGCAATTAATATCTAATCTTCAGAGACCTATGGTTAAGTTCAAAAAGCAATTTCTTCAAAAAAAATTTTAAACCTTTGCCTCTTCTCTTCGAGGGTGTAATGAAAAATGTTAGTTCATTCAACACTCCCATCTTTAATCATTACATCTTTATTGTATCTTAGCAATGACTTCCAGTTAAAGACTTCGCCTAATAATTTTGTTGAAAATTCTAAGCCTCTAACTGACCTTTTTTTAATTTTTCAGAAGTAGTCAAAAATAACCCTAACAGCGGGCTTAAAATGTTAAAAAAAAATGTGGAAAAAATTGTTGCCGACGCAGATTATTGTGACTACCCCAAATTTAACGCAAGCAGTGCTCTAGTGAAATTTCCTGTTTAACGTATTCGTAAAACATATTAACCCTCTTACCGTTCTTTTTGGAAGAACTTACATAAAACTTCTTAAAAAATAGGGGTGGCAAATATCATCATGGGCGTAGCCAGGTAGGGGCAGGGGGGTGCTCGAGCC